TATATGTAGGGTGGCAATGTCTACCACCAGACCAAATTTCATCTGGATTTGAGCTGGATTCTGGATCTGATGGCCATTTAAATTTAACATTGAAAACCCCATTAAATACATATTTTCTGCCATAACTTGGCCTATAATGGAGATAGAACCTTGAAATGTTCAGGTAAGATATACCATATAACTGCTTATTACACTCTAAAAGATCATCCAGATCAGATCTGAATTAAGGATTTTAGGACACATTTTTTGTTGTTCTGGATCTCATTTTTCACAAGGGACCCATTTGCATGAGCAAATATTGTGCCTTGGCAGAGGTACATGTGCTCTTGTTATCCTAGAATTTTGCTTTGTGATTATCCTGTACAGAGATACTGTAGTTCACTTGAGGTCAAAGGTCAAAGTGTTTATTTGTCATATACACAGTTAGGAAACGTGTTTCCCTGTACAATGAAATTCTTACTTTGACGTCCACATGAATGCCACATAATACCCGTGAAATATAAAGTAGATGAGCAATAACACAAACCTAAATAGGTAGTAAAATCACAAATCTAAGGCACTTTAAAGCAGCAAGTGAAGGAAGCAAATAACAATACAGCAAGAACACAATATAATGCAGGAAGAACAGAGAGATGGTTTCTACTTGCAGCCTTTGCTAACAACTTTATGAGAGCTGTTTGTAGGCACAACAGTGCTTTGAGCTAAATGCTAACATTAGCATGCTTACATGCGCAATGTGACAATGCTAACATGCCAGTGCTGACCAGCCATGTATACCATGTTCAACATCTTAGTTTACATTGTCAGCATGCTAACATTTACCAATTAGCACTAAACACAAAGTTCAACTGAGACTGAATTTTTGGGCTGAAAAATGTCAGCAATGTGAATTTTGGCCTGATGATGGTAAGCTACTAAATAAAAATCCAACCGGATCACCAAAATTACAGTTCTTTATGAAGTAGTCATGAGTGTTTGATTGCAATCAGTCCAATACTCTTTGAATTGTTTCATACAAAACCATAAATACCAACATCATGTCAGAAGGAGGAAAAGTCAGGTGATGACATCAACAGAATCCATCCTCTGCAGCACTTCTTGGTATTAGAGCCTATAGTTGTGAAATGTTTATGTCTGTAACAGAAGTGAAGGACTGACTGATTGATACACTGACGTGCCATCCCTATAGAAATGTGACTACTATGGCTAAAAAAAGACTAAATGTCTGGACTTTAATTAATTCTATCTAATTATCAGTTACATTTTCACTGAGCCCAAATAACACCCCTGACCTAGCCCAATACTGCATCAGGACAGCTGTGACAAAACACAGTCAATGTGCCATCAGTCAGTAAAGGAGCGAATGGAATGAAATGGAAAACAAAAAATAAGAGAGGATTACATAACTAGATGCTTCCAGTTTCTTAGATCCCCCCTTTAGCTTTGCAGATGTCCAGTAAGACACACAGTATACACTTTATTCCCCCCTTCTTCCCCTCCCTCACTCCAAAACCCTGTTCATATCACCATGTTTACTGCATGTTGACATGGCAAATATTTTAGGGTGAAATAGCAATGATTCATATATACACACATTGCACTCTGTGTTTGTCTTTAAACTTCTCTTTTGCCCAAATCGTGTATATAAGCCATGTTTAAGAAGAAGAGATCACTTGCTGCCTAATTCTCTGGACTCTGAGACACTGGGATCCACTATTTTACAGAGAAGGAGTTGCTGCATTTATATGCTGTTTTGTGGAAAACCTTTATGGGACATGGGCAAACTAGGACTTTTTCTGTGGACTATGAATGCTGGATTTTGGTGATGGCAACGTGTCACATGTCTGAGAATTTAGGCACTGCGGAGCTTGTATTACTGAACAATGTTATTAGGATCAGTGGTATTTGACTGTACAATTTCTAAGTCAAACTTTGGAACATTTTCAAAGTAAGAATTTCATGTGTTAAACTGTTAAAAGCCACCAGGTACAAACCATAATCTAACAAGTGTTCATATTCTAGCATTTTCCACTGACCTCTAATGTGTAGAAAAAAGAAAAGGTTGTTCAGTGACTTCCAGACTAAGGGTAAGGTACCTTATTCCTTTTATCACCTGTATGTGTGTGTCAGGAGTGTGTGTAGATGTTTACACAAAACAGCAGCGGTGGAGCACTGGGCATGACGACATGCCTCCAGGCTTGACGTTCTGCTGCCGTTTACTAAACAGCCTTGATAAGACATGACTGTTTTAGTAAATACAGAAGGCGCGTGTGTTTGTCCTTGTGTGTTTTGGGTTAATTTTGTACCAGGACAGTAGCTTTCCATTTAAGTAGCAGTTATCCAGACTGAAGGAGTATATCCCCTCACTTTAGAGGAATCAACTTGGACAGATTTGTTAAATGTCAGACTTTATCCACTACACTGTGAGGTTTGAAATCTTGTGTAAACTGGTTTAATTAGTATTTCAGGGTTGTTCTTACAAAAACAAATCCCTTATACATAGCAGCTTTGGTGTAATTGTTCTTTCTTTGAGTTTATATTATAAACACCACACACTTGTAATCCCCTGCACTGCATGAATGTGTACACACATGCACGTACACATAAATGAATAGAGTAGATGCATATATGTGTGTCTGTGGGCACGCTCCGTTAGTCCGACAGGTGTGTGGAAGACTGCCACGAGCCAGGTGGCAGGTGGAGATGAGGATTTATAGATTTTAATTGTATCACTCTGTTGAGCAATAATTCTACTGCCTAGGGCAAAGAAGGTCCATAGCTACACTAATGTGATTGACGGACGCTGTGCTGGGTATCCCTGAATCACAGTGTGTTCCACATTACGTGTATATTTGCTTTCCCCACATCACAACTTAATTTTCATAGCTGATCAGTTTCTATCCAAGTGTTAACTGTACTCTCTACTGAGACAAGATAAAGACAGTTGAGAAGAAATTCCAGGAGGAAAAACATGAGACAGACAAGTTGGAAATCAGTGGTTAATTGTACAAATCCAAGAAAAAGAAAATCCAACAAGCTCCAGGATATCAAAGTGTACATTGTGTTATGAATTTCAATACAAACAAATTGAAATCCCTCAGCTTTTATCATTTCTTATGTGAAGAGATTCATCTGGAAGAACACATTGTCCCCCCTGACCTTGTCATCCCCATCCATAGAGTGATTAATGGTTACAAATTTACATTGATCTGAAACTGGCTGAATGAGACAGAAGAGAGTGATGTCTGCTGTTACTGAAATCTCCAAGAAAAAAGTCCTATAATGTTTCTGTTGGCAAATACACTCTGGCAAAGCAAAAGGCCACCCCACTGTACTGTTACTGTATTAAGTATCATTCCTCTCCCCTCTTCTCTGCTTATCTCCTGCTTCTTTCTTTCTCTCCTTTTTATGCTGCTGATCCACTCTATAAAAATAATATCTGCAGGAAAAGATAGTCTACTGTATATTCTATTTTCATATGAATTTGGCACAGTCATGACTTCATTAATGAATCATGATGCTTATGGCACAGCATAAGGCAGGACATTTCACAGAGTTAAATCAGATATGCAAGCAAGGCTGACACAACCAATAAAGTAGGACTTCATGCAACCTCATGGCTTCTTTTAAAATCGGTTATGCAAATTTTGACAGGTTGACCTCCTACAGTAACCTCCAACCAGTAATGTTCTTTTTCATTAAAGCCAATGGATCGGGGTCTGAAGTGTGTACTTTCTTTCTTTCTTTCTTCCTGTGTTTAGTGTAAATGACTGTCATGCTGCCTGTGTTTCAGGGTAAATAAAGGCCTAAGGCTGACACCAATAAAAGTGTCTATATTTATCTAAATAACGTTGTTCAGGACAATTAAAGAACACAATAAAAGTCAATTAAAATAATTGGCAAATTTTATACTATACATTTAACCAAATCTGGATATTAAATTAAGTACAGCGGAAAATGGCTATTGCTAATTGTTTGAGTTTTGTTAATTATTAAGTTAGGCCAAAATTTACAATTTGGCAGAGTAATCATGGACTCATTATAATGTCTTCCAAGTGTTGCAATATGAAATGTAAAGTATGATTTTGTATTACTATATGGACTACTATATCAAGACATACAGGAGACAACAACACATGAATACATCAGAATTTACTGTATAGATTCTTATTGCATTGCATGTGAGAGATTTGCATTACTATTCCATTTTACAAATGTACTTTACAGTTGCAGATCAAACAATACTGTTCTGTAATCTTTATACTGACACAATTATTATTTTTCTGTTACCCTACTTTTTATGCTTTATATATTTTGTTTTCAATGCATACTACATATTACTGACCTGATTCTTTCTTAAGAATGGCAGTCACAAAAAAAAGAAAAGTAAGTTTCTTTATACACTGCAAACCCAGTTTCTGTACATATAACAATAAAGCTGCTTACTTAAAGCTGTTTACTTACCTACTGCTTGTACAGTTTTGACTCTCCATTGTTGGACGACTATATCATGGTAAAATTTGTCCATGTTCATAGCATGAATTAACATGCTATGAAGTGTGTTGAGTAGTTGTATTTACAATTGTTCCCTCTCCCCTAACAAAACTGCCAGCATCTAGTCAGCAGTATCTGTAGATAGAGTAGATGGTGTGATAGAGAGGGGTTTCAGTGTTTAGTGTAGCAAAGAGCGACAGCATGGGAACGTGGATTTTCACGGTTTAGAAGAATCAGTTAACATTCTATCACACAAAGATCAGGTTTCACTGACATGCAAGTTCTATAGCAGGCATCGCTGCTTTTTATTATTATTATTTAGCTTTTTTTTCTCTTTCTCTTATGTTTTGTGGTGCAGTAGTATAAGAGAAACCATATAGCTATTTGCTCCTGAACAACAACCAATCAGTTTATTCTCTTTAAAATAAAATGAAAAAAAAAAATGCAAATTGAAAATTCTGAAACCTTTTATTCATATCAAAAACCAACATTTATAGCATACATTAAGAATGCATTTTGTACTATGACATTTGCACCAACAAGCCAACTATGTAAATGGATAACATTACACAACATGTATTTACAAAGTACACATATGACTTTTATATCAAGACTATAGGGTCATCATATTGTCTAGTGATAGGACTAAAACCAGTTTAATTATTACCTATTACCTACGTAACCACCGCACACTACATAGACAATAGTGTGATTTAACTATTGTATAGGTGGAACCATCAAAGAATTGCAGATGGCAGTCGAGAATGGGCTGATGTCAGCAGATCAGATCTAGGATTTGTTAATAATGAGTCAGATCTGATATGGACTAGCTCTGGTTAGAATAAAAGCTGACCAAGGCCTGATAGCCAAGCTGACTACAGTGATGCTTGTAGTCTGCTGTGTCTGACTCAGCTGTTTCTGTGGGAATCAGAGCTGTTTTACTCTGTTGTCACACGCTATAGTGATCTCAACTGTCTAAGTCAGCGCAAACATAATCTGTGTGTTTGTGTGTATGTGCATGTGTATTGTCTTTCACAGAACAGAACCTCTACAAGACAAAAGTGACCAAACAGGTACAAAGAAAAGAGTCTTTTCAAACCAAACATTTCACCCCTAATGTCTTATTACAGATCTGTGCCCTCACGGTGATAGATGATTCCGGTTGAGCCCAGTGTAGGGTAGAAATGCCCACTGGACCCATTGAACTGGTTGAGGATGGGGCTAGTGTACCCTAAAGAAGAGTGAGTAGGTGATGAGGAGAGAATAGGGGGAGCTGGCACTTGTGATACCCACTCTGGGGCGCCGGAGCTAGAGGAGTAGCTACTGAAACTTCCAGGCTGTGTGGATCTGTGAGGGCCATCTAAAGGAAGGTTAATAGGCAGTGGCCTGCTTAACCCATCACCCCCCACCTCATTCGTTCCTCCAGAGCTCACGCCAGACATCTCGGATAAGAAGCTGCTCAGACACGGTGCAGGGCCTGACGACGAAGGGGAGGGGATCCTTTCTGGTGTAGGGTCGATGTCAAGAGCAGGGTTACCAGAATGTTTGGGGCTGCCTCTCTCACTGTCACCTGAATCTGGAGCCCCGGGACTGCCATCACCAGTGGAGAGGGAGTCAGACTTTCTCTTTCTTTTGCGGCGGAAGTTTCCATTATCAAACATCTTTTCACAGTTTGGGTCAAGAGTCCAGTAGTTGCCCTTTCCTGTGATATCAGAGTGAACAGTCAACAAAACTGAATTTAGGTTTGAAAAATAAACTTTAAGCTTTACAATATGCAGCACACATTTAAAACACAATTCATTCAAAATGAAATATCATTGAACTGTGAATGGAAATTTTAAAAACTGCTTGCATAATCACTTGCTTGTTAGATAAAGCCATGAAAAACATTTTTATTACCTGGATCATCTTCATCTCTGGGCACTTTTTTGAAGCAGTCATTGAGTGACAGGTTGTGTCTGATGGAATTCTGCCAGCCTGCTTTACTCTTGTTGTAGAAAGGGAAGTTGTCAGCGACATACTGGTAAATTTGACTCAGTGTCAGTCTCCTGTCCGGTGCTCCGTGGATAGCCATGGCAATGAGAGCGGAGTAGGAGTACGGAGGCCTGACCAGCTTCATCAAGTCTTCTTGTGAGGGAAGAGAGAACCAGCTCAGCTCTCCTCCAGGACCCCCAGCTCCAGCCGGACCTAAGTAAGGCCTCTGCATGCCATAGTGCTGAGGAACAAAGGGAGGGCCGGGGTTTCCTGGCGGGCCGGTGGTAGCCAGATACGATGGCGTGTTGATCCCGGCGCTGTTGAACCAGAGGTAAGGGTTTGGGGGAGGGGTGGTGTAGTCACTCAGGTCGTAGGAGGTCGGCGCAGTACGTTGAGGACTTGGCAGTGAAGGTGGAGGGTAGTAACAGTCACTGTACATGCTGAGCTCAGGAGGTTCCTGGCCAAGGTTGGGGAACTGTGGGCCACACCGAGGAGGAGATTGACCCTGGGTCTCAAATGAAGACATTGTCACCTCTCAGAATCTCTTGCTGTCCTTCCTATCTATGCCAAACTCTATCTGTGATGATTTTGTCTGCCCCCGAAAGTCCTGTTCTGGTTCAGGCCTTTGAACATAAGCTGATTCAAATGAGGGTCTCTAGGCTTCCAGTTTTCAGGCTACTCTTCTCCACCCCTTTCTTGTCCGTTTGCCCTTGCTTTATGTCAAGATGTCACCTGTCATACCTGCTTTATCTGTTTCCCTGGATACGCCCCCAGTCTCTTTTGATTGGTTGTGTTCTCAGGTGAGTACTCTGTTACTGCTTTTTCTCTCTCTCTCTCGCTCTCATTTTTTCCTTCTGTCAGCTAATCCAGTTCCTCCTTAGGGTTTGTTTACACTCAATTAAATAACTTTCCACTCAATCTGCTCTTCAAACATTGATTGAGTTCGGTCATCTGTAATATTTTTTGATGGTTATGATGATAATTTAAACTGACTGACAGGAACTATTTATTTAGCTGGTCTGTTTAGATTAGAATTTGTAATCATTTTCCCTACTGCATGTTAGTTCTGCTATCATGGGCAGCTTATTCCTTTTTTCTGCAGTACCAACAAATATTTTTGTGAACACCCTAGATTTAATTATTGTGGATAGGCCTATATATACCATTTACCATATTTTCTGTAGATCCTGAGCCACAAGTATAAGGCAACATTATGTCAGGTTTAGAGGTTTACATTAGGGGTCGTCTCCCCACTGGAAGGTCAGCGGTTCAATTCCTGTTCTCCCCAGTCCAGGTGTCAAAATGCCTTTGGGCAAGACACTAAACCCCAAGATGCCCCTGATAGCCAGAGCAGTGACAGTGCTGCCATCAGTGTATGTATGTGTACACAGATGGCTGCCTTGGTTCTTACTGGATAAAAATTCCTTGTGTGTAACAAGCCCAGAAGTATTTGTTTTTAGATATACTGATCTGATTTATAAGCAAAAGCTGTAAAATGGTGTTTCTCATTTGGCAATGTGTTCATTAGATTATTAATATTTTAAAATTAAAAATAATGTTATTTTACAAACAAAGTCACTTATTTAGTAACATGGTGCCATTTAAGCCCATGTGTGTTCCAAATAAACTCACATTATGGCTTACTGATCAAATATAAAATTGTATTGCTTTCAAAGAACAGCAACAGGTTTACTCAGTAATATCTCAGGACTTCATTTCTTGTAATTTCTTTTTGTAAAGGGTATATATCTCTTTGTGATTTCTCCAGAAAAAGGGCCACCACCCTCTAGTTTAGCCTAGAAAAAAATGACACTCAACATCCATAAACTTCTTCACCACAGAATCTAAGTGTTGTTTGGGTTTCTGTCCAGGGATTTCATGACATACTGTCTCTCCCTGTGTATCTTTTCTCTTAATTTCATTTGATAGATAGACAGATAGATATACTGTATTTAAATTAAGAGGCACTGTCAAACATAGACTCATAACCGTATTTTTTTCTGACCACAAGAACCACTGAAGGGACCATCCAGCTACCTTCCAGGAAGTGTGGGACACATATAACTGAACCCATAAAGGTTCTACATAGTTTAGTCAAGACCCCTGAACACCGAGGTTTTGTTGTGAATTTGTGTGAGATCCCCTGAGAGAGCTTGCACATGGGTAGGTGTAACTCAGTGATGGAAAATATAAAATAAAATAATCAGTTACTTACCCTAGACTATTTTTGAGCCAATTCAAATGTAGTTAGTGTAATATGTGAAGGGCTAAACTGTTTTCTTTGAGCTAAAATTATTCCATAATTTCTCATAGGTCCCATACCTCAAATTATTATTTTTGATAACAGGTATATCAAATTCTTGCCTATAAAGTGTTGATAACTTAGGTTGTTTTCCACTGTGTTTACAAAATATGGGTACCCTGTGAAAAGTGTCCTGAAAAATCACAGGAAGTTGGCCTGTACCATTTGTATTATACCCCGCGAAATGATTTACCGTTGTCGTTACCGCGAGAACTTCCCAGTGGTATGTAAAACGGTTGACAAACTTTTAGAAGAAAAGGTTTCTACCGTAAGTTTTCCATATATTAAAATTAAATAATGATTGCACGGCAATTTATGGCTAATTAATATTTTAGCGAATATATGTAAATATCATTAGATATTGTTGTTCTTGACAACTGGCTAACGTCAATTAGCCTAATTTTTATATAAACCCATGCTAATTTTTCCCCACACAGCCTAGCTAATGTCAACGCCGTAAGCTAACTCGCGAATATGTATCATTTATCTGCTTTTAGTGCCGTGACAGTCGAACGTCAGGAGGGGCTTGGTGCCGTTAGCTAACGTTGGTGACTTTTTTTGCAATTACTTTACAGCTATATTTTTCTGGAAAAAAAAAATCACTTACAGCAGGTAAAGGCCATTTGCCGGTTTGCAATTTAGATGGCCAATTCATCGTCGCCCCCCGAGCTCCCGCAGGACAGTGACGACGTCTTGGAGCTGAACAAAGATTTAGAAAGGATTATTGAAGACACTGAAAATATATCGGGTATGTAACTACACGTTGTCATTTCATTGTAGCATGATTTAAGAAGACTTTGTGTAAAGTTAGGCTTAACGTTACAGTAAATTGAGGTTTGAGATATCTTCGGCGTGAACATTTAATTTGGTGTTAAGTCTAACACAACTGCGTGATACCTGCGTTTTCACTCTCGTTTATTCTCTTTCCACCTGTAGTCCAGCTGACCTGGATGGCTTATGATGTGGTGGCACTGCGGACCAGGCCGGAGCTCGGGGCCTCTATGAGCAAACTGGAGGAAGCCTATCACAGATGCAGAGTTGCAGTCTGTGGAGACCGAGACCAGGAGCTCAATGAGTACAGATGAACCAGCTGCCACAAAACTAACCCAGATGTAATATAGCCAGAGCTTTCAGTTCATCAGTGCTGCGTTGAGGTTAGGCTATGACAGCAGCGTTAACCTTTAAATATAACTGTTTTGTGTGTTGAACATACTATTGCAATTGCTGTAGTACAATTTTTCTCTGGGGTATTTGGAAGGAGACTTGCTTCTGTTCTCTGTATGTCTGACTATTATAATTCAGAAACGATTTTTTTATTCAGTAAGATACAGACCACATTTCTTTGGTAGTTATCAGGTAATATGAGCATGGCCTGAAAATATTGGTTGTTTTATAGTTACTATAAAATGTCAACTTTTGACCTGTCCCATGCCAAATGAGAACACAATGTGACTACAGTATCTCTGGTTTTGTTTCTTGCAGTATTTTTAGCAAATGGAAATGACTTGGGAATGAGACCTAGTCACAAGAAGCAAGAGAGAGGGACAGAGCATACCAGTTGTGACAGGATCTTTAAGTTTCTATGATAACATTTAGGAGGAAGATTTACCATTCCTTTGGCAGTGTGTATACTTAAACAGATGCCACACAACACAAGCTCAGTAATCTGCTTGTTTATCAATTATTTATCACTCTTTTAGAATGTGCCACATTAAATGTCATTGCTGCTTTGCCTTCTGAATTTAGTTCTAACCTAAGTTATACTTCTACTGGCAATGTTAAACACTTGTATTAGCTTATACAGATCTATAGCTATTCAGAGGTTAACCGAGGTTATATTAACATTGTTAACAGTAATAATTAATAATTATCTGATGCAAAATCTTAATGTGTTCTGACCTGTTGGCCTGTTAAATTGAATAAATAAAAAAATGAAATGAGAATGTGTTCTGCTTTTTTATTTCTTTATTTTAATCCAGAGCACAAAGAGATCAGGAGGCATGCACACCCAAAAAGCCTTCTTTTATTATTTTTATGTCTGACATATAACTGCAGGAAAAAACTAACAAAAAACAAGAGCAGGCTTGTCTAAGCCCTTGATTTGTTTATTTAGTACTCTTGTTACTTTATGTTTGACTTTTAGTTGGGGTATAATGTCAGCATTCAGAGTTGCAATTCAGGTTTGTTACATTTTGTGTATGGCATATGAAAGTTGACATAACCTTTTATGTTTTTATGTAATTATTTTTCAGATGGAAAACACAGACATAATTGCAGAACAAACCACATCCACTACCTGCACTGATCTGGAAAACATACTGAAAGAGCTGGACTCCTTGTCTGACTGCATGGCTCAACTGACATGTACGTTTGACTGTTTATCTCCATCTACTCACTATACACTTCCAAAATGTCAGTAAACATAAATTATAACAGGTAAGATGATCTTGGTGATTGATTTGCAAGTATGCAAAGCACCTGATATAACTGCTACCCTAGATCTGAAATGTGATAGCAAAAGTGGATTCTTGAACACCAACTGCTGCACAACTTAGCCTTGCTTGTAGATGTCAGTGGTGCACAGTTACACGATACTACATAACATCTGTCAGATCACACTCAGTGGGTAAATAGGTGTAACTTAAGGGATTTTATACACAGGCATTCAGGCCATTTGATGTGAGGCTTGATGTCGCAATTTCTATTTTTTGCCAGAGGGGATAGACGTGGGCAAAGAGGCAGCCAGAGGAGTCTTCTCACTGTGTATTCTAACTTTATGATAACTATCAGCTCACTTTAATAGCCCAAAGCCTAGAAACAAACATTACAGGTTGTTATATATTAAACTTTGTAAATGAAGGAGTTGTGATACTGTGACACTTGATGCTCTCTTACAGTTTTGCAGTTTATTATTTTGACATGTAGTATATAAAAAGTTAACGCACCACATTTTGTCCTAAGAAAAAATGACCAGACATGATGAACAGATGTCAATCAAAAACAATTTTGAAAGCTGTTTGTTTCACTGAGTACAAACAAAGATCTGATACCAACTGTGATTTAGTTTTTGTATTGTCTCACCTTTGTCCTCAAATTAATTTAATTAATTTTGCAGCTGTGAGTAGCTGCTCTTTTTTCATTGTGCATTGAATTGTGAACAGTCCATCAACACCACCATCACTCAAAAATCAGTCTGATTTAATGAAATCAGACATTTTGGTATGTATATTCAAAACCTGGTTGTAATTTGTGTATAGAAAACAATCTGGAGATAACTTGTCTCATTATTCTGATTGAGTTTTTGTGTTATATGAATAAATACTAGTGCTGCTTTGAAATAGAGAAAATAGAGCAGAATGTATCTTATCTACACCATCTTTTGGTGTGGAATATTATATATTCTGAAATGTGACTTTGGACATCTTAGACTTAAGGCAGTTGCAAAATGAGGCATTTGTTTCCTGTCTGCAGTGCGAACCCAGCTGAGGCAATGTGATCTGATTGTTTGTGTTGGCTGCCCCGACAAGCTGGCATTTCTGAAAAATCCAAGAGGCACCGAAGCAGTAACCCCCAGCTTGACCTGAAACTGACACATAAAGAACCAAGGTAATGCTGTGCATCTGGAAAGCATACTATAGTTTAATAAAATGTTCAGTTCTTTTCTCCTATTTACTAAATTTACAAGTGAAAGTGCCATTCAAATTATCTAACAAAGACCTTTGTGACCTTTTGTAAATATTGTGACATTTGGATGTTCCTAAAAGGCTTCAGAACAACCTACACATATGCATGTGCACCAGTTAGCATACAGAAACAGGGACAGATGCAAACACACACATTAAACTTGGTGCTGGTACTGGTCAATGTCCCACAGGGTGCAGCAGACAACACCAGCTCTGTGCTTCAGAGCTCTGGTTTGTGGCATCAATGAGCAGCATCGGGGTGTGTGTGTGATGGGTAATCATCTCCTTTACCCCAGGGAAACTCTATAGTACAGCAGCACACAAAAAAGATATTAGGAACCTAATGATGCAGCGTAGCACATGTCAGACACTCCCCTGAGGTGAGCCACAAGATGTCACCTTTTCAGTTTACTTTGAGTGAACATGCTCACGTTTTCTTCTCGTTTTAACAACGTAGAGAATGGTATCATCGCTTTCAGTTTACCTTCGTGTTGCGGAGGCCAGTGCCAAGGGTGTAGGAGTTGCCTTGGTTACGGATCTGAATGTTGTAAACCTTGTCTTGTTTCAACAGCATGAGGGTGTAGGGGTGTTCGGCAAAGCCTTTTGAGCTGTCCCTCACCACAAATGCCCCATCCTTAATGGCATAAAAGGGGACAGATCCACAAACATAGACAGACATACTCAGTCAGATTAGCTTGATATTACAAATAAAATCTAGGGAAATGTCAGTTGCATGTTTGTGTATATATATGTATCTCTGCTCCAGAAGCAAAGAAAAAGAAGAGGCAGCACCTGACCTTGTTCACGTTTTTGAGAGCAGCTTCAGCTTCATGTCTGGTTATCTTTCCTCCATACCACATGGGATCCAAATCCTGGATGCACTATCAAACAGTCATAGTAAGGACTAAACAGACACCCTTTCTTCTCATTTCTCTTTTAAAATGTCAGAAATGTCTTAATTGCTGTTCAATAAAGCAGGTATTTTTAATTTCCAAGTGATGCAATTTCTTGAGTTATCACAATAGATTTGAGTCCTTATTGTTGTGTAGCCTACTTGTTACAACATCGCCATCTGCTGGTCAAAGTATGTGATTGCAGAGAAAAGCTCACTCTTAACGGTATTTGTGTCCTCCAGTTTGCACAATATACACAGGGGGTGTACATTGTGGGTTAATTGTGATTCCATTTTTGATTCTCACCTTTCTTGTTTCTGGTAATGAATTCCTAACACAGTCTGTTGGCACTGGAGGGCATGGTATGAGTTTACTTGCTCTGGGAAGAGACAGATGAACTAGAAGATCATTACCCAGAGTGAAAAGCTTGCTGCTATTATAAATTGTTCAGGTACCTGTTGGACACATCTGTGGATATGGGGGGTTGGGGTGGACGGCGCTTGCTGGTGAATGATCCAAGCAGCTTGTTAGCGATGCCCTCTGGTGGACAGTATAGGATAAGGATCGTAGGATAATCACCTTTATTGGCCAAGTATGTTGCACACAAGGAATTTGTTACAGGTACAGATGGCAGCCATTTGCGGTGCCAACTCAACCGATGGCTCTAATCATCGGGGGTATGAACAGTTAAAAATATAAAAGTTATATTGAGCCAAGATTGTAACACTTGCTGCTGAACTTTTGTAACCACCCTAAACACCAGTTAATAAGTAATACATACTTGATTTTGGAAGGTCTGTCTGGAATGGGCCAGGCTGTAGCTTCTTGCTCATGTCACTATGCACATTAATGTTGCTAGCTGTTCTTAATGCAAAAAAAGACAAGAAGAAAAGACAAGAAACCCTTAAAAATCAGCAAAATCAGTGTTGTAATTGTGGAGTAATGAAATGTACAGTGACCTGGAGGTTTTAAAGGTCTCTGAGGAGTATGGTTCATTCTTGGGCTAGGCAGTGGAGGTTTTGAGATCCTTTCACCAGGGGATAGATCAAGAACAGGCTCTTCTCCCATACAAACACAGCAATAAGTTAGAAACATGAACACAGTTCTACTCTGTAAGTATGTAAAGTGAAAAGCAGCTAATATAGTGACATGGTTTTTGATATGACTGCCTTTCTTTGTGCATAGAAGTTTTGCCCTGGTTGCTTTCTTACCTGTGGAGTGACACTCCATAAGTTTACCCCATCTCGGTGGTTCAGGTGGCCTCACTATGGCAGCACAGGCCAGTGGCTCATTGTTGCGTTGTTGCTTAGATGTTTGTGGTTCAGTCAGAGCACAGCTGTATCTGTCTCCTTCTTCATGGTCCAGACCTTCATAGTCACATTCACTTTCACTTCCCTGTACATAGTCCAGACATGTAAGTAATGAGAAGTGTGTAATTATACTTGTGTTCCATGCTGCATATTAAGTAACTTTTTTTTTTTTTATTAATCTTAACAATTGACTTAGTTTGTAATAAAAAAAAGTGGAGAATTAAATGATAGCTTGTACGTACAAACTCATCGGAGTCCCACTGTTCTTCAAATGCTGTTTAGGGACACAATACAAAATAGTATCAGGGCTGTGAAATATAATATAAATAGCGTATTTGAATTGAAATGTTGTTTACCTTGTTTTGGATAACTTTTTGCCTTTGATCTGCACGAAAAATAATATGAAAGTACTACTTTGTTGTTCAGTAGGTTACACATTCAGTAGAAGTTGTAAAATAAAAATTATTTAGTACTTTGAGTCAGAGGCCCTCCTCTGCTCCCCGTTGTTGATTTCAATCTGGATCTTAGCAATTAGTCTATAAAAATAAAAATGTGTTAAAAATATATATTTTTTATTATTACAGTACTACTCTGCACGGCTACCGTTAATTGTGGCCCAAACTGCAATGAAAAGTAACTACGTACATTTACTCAATTACTGAAATTAAGCACAGTTTTGAAGTGTCTGTACTTCACATAAGTATTTCACTTAAACTACTTCATATATAACTTCACTGCATTTAAAATAATGAACACAGTAATGCCTCAATTATTATAATCCAGTAATACGATAGAGCTGCTTCAGCCTAACGTAGATTGTATGATATCAGAGAATTGATGCATTGTCATACATGGCCACAATAAAACCTTATCCCTAAACAGACTTTGGCTGATGGATTGTTTCAATATTTTTGATTAGAAAACTGTTGTCAATAAAAGTATTTCTAATCAGACTTACGGACGATAAAGGCCCGGAAACACTTGGAGGTCACAGTCGGTCATTTGCTGCATGATGTAGAAGTGAATATTGTCAAAAATAGAAACAAGACACGTAAAGACGTGCTGATGTTTAGATAGATTTACCAAGAACTGTGCTCCAGTTGTGCTGCCCTTCATCACTACTTTGTCACAACCTGACAACTTAAGCTGAGGAGATAGCACACACTTACACATACACATTGCATAGGGCTTGGTTGCTTTATTTATTTATTTATCATGTTAACATGCAACATGTCAGGTGTATAATTACCTTAGCATGAAGAAGTAAACTATAGGACTATCACAAAACATAGAAAAACTGCCAGCCTCGGTGTGAAGTAATGTATTTGACACTCACCTTCCTCATGTAGTCAGCGAGACTTTGTGCATTCCATCCCATCACCTCCACTTTCGAAGGAAAACTATTTAAACTCATGTTTTCTCTTGCAAATATCTACTGAAAAAGAACTTTCTGACTTTGCAGTGAGCTCACCAGACTGTTACTCTTAAATCTTCATATTCAGCCTAACTTTAAAACTTAACATTTAGAGCGACCATTCCCCCATTAAAGACGCCTACATGTCATTTGTCATCTTCCTTCACATCTAATGTGTGAAAGACTTCAAAGTGTCAGTGCACAAAAAGGACTTGACATATTTATTTTAAGAGTGTACACACACTGCAGAGTCTCTAAACATAGAGCCTGCTGAGTTCCTGTCACACGAATGAAGGTGTTGAGTCTGTTTTAACTCATGTGTCTAATTCATGGCCTGTTGTGTTCTCATACATGTTTTTTGTTCTAATTCATAGCATGGCATTGTTGGAGGCAGTCTCAGGTCCCAGCTGCAGTTTGTCCTGTATATCAGGCCTCACACCCAGGTGAGAGAGGAGGGCGGTGGGAAATAAGCGGTGATCAGTCATGCTCAGATCCCCCTAGACCTCCAGGCATGTCTGGGAGAATGCAGGAGCCCTCCTGGGGGGTCCTTGCGGGAGATCACCCCCTTCCCCCTGTTGTCGTCTTTCTGGGAAGCATGCCTCCCGGTGAAACACGACTGTGGTGGAGAAATCAAAGCAACTGATGTGTGTTAAATCGGTGTAAGTTCATGTTCAGAAAAGTACATTGCTTCAAAAATATTGTTAAAAATGTCAATTTTATAAAGCTGTAGAAGAACAAATACGTGGAAAGGACACTAAAGAATAAGCAGCGCTTTTTAGGGAAAAGATGGTTTATCAGCAAATGCTATTGGAAGGCTTGATGTTGTCAGAGCACAGCCAAGCAACAGCGTCATATGGGATCAATATGGAACCAATAATGTTCTCAGTGGAGAGCAGAGATAAGGGGTGGATTGGTGAGGGCCTCCAATGGGGTGAAACCTTTATTAACACAGCAGGACAGAAGGGGAAATGCAGGGCATCGCCAGAGGGAAACAGACAAATGGGGAAGGATGAGAGGGAGTGGTTTGGTCTTTGAGAGTGTAGTTTCACAGCTTCTCTGTCCTTTCTAAGACATGCTTGTGCCAGAGCCTCATCACTTCATTTTGTGGCATTTAGGTTTTCCATGTGTGGCAATGATGTTTTCTGTATTCACTATTTTGAGCTGATTTGTCCCATTTTAAACAGTACTGACTTGAATGGAAAAAGTACTTTTGGAGTGGCACTAGTTGATCTGCCGTAATAATGTAATGTTTCTTTATTATGTCATTTCCCTCAAATGCTTCTGTAGTAACCGGTCTGTAAAGAAACACTCCCCTTTCTGCTAGATTCTCCACCCCCCACACCAAGACATGGACCCCCTGATGAAGGTAATATCCATGCCATCACTCATTTGGCTGCAGTGGCAGATTTATGACACGTCCAGCTGAGAGGAAGATTTCTGGAGATACAGGGGGTAGAAGAAAGAAGGAGACAAATGAATAGCTCCTTCAGTCACAGATAGGCCAGTGGGCGGAGATGAGGCCTCTCTGAAACCTAATTACTTGCAAATTATAAGATTAGAAATTAACTTGCTTTCATGGTGGAATGTGACTGGCTTGTTTATAACTATTTATAACTGCCTTCTCATTGGATTTACTTTACTTGGATTTACTTGGTTTTTGGTTTGGTTTGGATTTACTTGGATTTATTTATTTTTAACTTAGCAGTGGAAATACTCCCCTGATTTGGCTTTCAAAGCTTCGCTGCTCAATACACGTTGACATCAAAGTGATAGTGGATCAACACCTTGTTTAGGTGTGAATGGCACCATGTTATCCATGTAATCCTCTGTTACGTGTATTCAGCCTATTCTTATTCTAATAGACACAGTTTGCGCGCCTTCTCATAAAATCCAATTAGCCTGGTATTTATTAAGTTATTGGATCCAATAAAACGTGACATTACGATTTTTTTTAAATCGTTTATTTTATTTAAGCAAAGAAAAATATTCATAAATAGACACTTGGGATTTATACAAAGTCAAAATTCAACGAGAAGTGCAAACAGACAACATTTTCATATAGGTCCCTAAACTTGCTTTGGACAGGTCACAGATCCCTGTACATGTTTCGTCATTTGGGTCCACGGTATCTCCGTCTGTCAGCACCTTCCCTCCTAGCGCACACATGTTTGACAACAACCTGAGAGCAGTCGTCACAGTTCACCTTGCAGCACCAGTGGAATTTGCAGTTGCAGCTGCTCACCACCTCTGTGCGCCTCTCTTCCACCCTCAGGCCGCACTCATGACATAGCCTGCGGCAGCTCCTCTTCTCCCACTGGGTTAAACCCTCTCCATGCTGCAGGCACTCCCGGCCTTCGGTACCGTACAGCCCCAGGCTGGTGTTCGTCCTGCAGTAGTCCGGGGAATCTTCCAAGTAGATGAGCTCTGTCTGGGCGATGCTGCCGACCGCGTCCGCGATGCCACCTCGGCTGTCCGCGCTGTTGCTGGCCCGCGTGCGCTTGTTGTCGATGTCCAGCTTTTGGGCCTGACTGTGCTTAATCTTCAAATAGTTGCCGATTTCTCTGAAATCAGACAGCTGTGTCCAGCAGGTTTGGACACTGCAGCTCTCAGACATGCCGTGACACCGGCAGATGCGCTTCATTGTCGCCTTCACGGCCTGGTGGAAACCAGGGAAAGTTAAAAACCAGTGATGGAAGAACTACTCAGATCCTTTACTTAACTAAAAGTGACAATACAATAGTGTAAAAATACTCTGTTGGAACTAAAGGTCCTGCATTGAAAATGTAACTTCAGGGTATTAGCATCAAAACACACTTAAAGTGCCAAAAGTTAAAGTACTCATTATGCAGAATGGAACGTTTCACATTAATGTATATCATGTCATTGTATTATAATTACTGATGTATTATTGTGTACATCACATTTAATATTACAGCTGGTAAAGAGTGGGTGGGGTTGGGGGTGTAGTTTAAACGTATACATTTAATTTGGATTACTGCTGGGTATATGGTGAATTTTCCACCATAGTTCAGTGAGGTCTGTATTTATGTGCTAATCTGGTTATGAGAAGTAACTAGTAACTAAAGTTATCAAAATAAATGTAGTAGAGTAAAAAGTACAGCATTTGCCACTAAAATGTAGTGAAGTCAAAGCATGAAGGAGAAAATGAAAGTACTCAAGTAAAGCACCGATACATTAAAACTGTACTTGAGTACATGTACTTTACTTAGTTGCTTTCCATCACTGTTAAATAAAGACGCCAGACAGACCAAATGTTTATGGTGTGAAGGAACGTACCAGCCGCCCTGCCTCATTGTTGTGCAGGTTAACAGCAGCCCTGGAGTCCTGGCCTGTCTCCTGCGCATCCACAAACTGTTTGGAAATCCTCTCCCCAAAGTCCACGTTAGCACTGCAGCCACCCCATAACCATCCACGACCACCTGGATACAAAATGTCACTTAAAATCAGATCACAACATCTAAAAGAAAATACCACGACTTTAAATGCTTATTAAGATTTATGTAAGGTCATAGCTTTTTACATATAAAGTCATATTCTAAGTAAAAGAATGATTTTTGCTGCGAGTCTCACCAATTTTCCCGTTCTTTGAGACATCACAGCCGCAGTTGTCGAGGTCTCCCAGGCTGCAGTTCCTGGTTAGAGTGTACATGACCCCCGCTGCACTGATGGCGTGGACGAAAGAAGTCTCCCTGGTGGCTGTAATTCAGAGGAAACAGAAAATGCAATGGGCATGGAATCTTCTAACATGACTTGAGTCATGCCAGCTGTTTCAAATAGAAGCAATAATTGACCCATAAACCAATAATTATTATTATGGGCAATTGTTGTTATTAAGATGATATAAAGGTAGATTTATAATTTTCTCGGCCCTTTAAAAAGTTGTAATGTTTCCCACAGATCATACAGACATGGAATTATTAACAATGTTAGCCTACCACGTCTGAGTCCTTTGAGCTGAATTGCGCCGTCGGGACAGTTCCATCTGTCCCAGGCAAACTGGTGTTTGCACTCCTCGATTCCGCTCTGTGTGCCCACCTGCACGCTTCTTGCATAACTGAGATACGCCTGCGGGGGAGGTTGTGACAGTCATTTCTTGACATCTGAATATTTTGAAATCCTTAACCAAGGACTCACGTAAATGTCTATTTACCTTGGGTCCCGTCATAAGAAGGTTACTTGCCACCCTGAGGAGAGGATAGCGAACGATAAAAAATGAGATCAGTTCATTTTAAGTCTCCACATGTATAAAAGATACAGGAAATTAGTGAATATAATCTCTTACCAAGCATGTGCCGGACAAATTTTGTATAAAAGAGGAAGAAGCCAAAATAATGAAAACACCATTTTCCTCATCATGGGAAGCTATCAAGAGAGCAGATCTAATTATTTTGACCTGGTGCGCTGCAAAATTCTCTTATATATGAGGAAAGAACAAATGGACCTGTTGTTCTTTGTCCCGAGAGAGCTGATTGGGTAACGGGTTCAGGAAACGCCTATATGCGCACTTCAAAGGAGACATCAGGCAAAAGTTGATTTTCTACCCGAAGACACCAGGGCACCAATATACAAGTAACTGAAACAATATTTTTGTAATTCACAAACTCGTATGAGCCATATGTTTTTAAATATTTATTATGTAACATTTTAATAAAAAAACATTCTTATATC